GGGGGGGGCTCACTGACAAAGACTTGGTCCACGTCCAAATAACTCCCTCCGTTCTTAGACTTTAACTTCCCTTCCTGATCATCATAACCCCGCTCTACCTGTCTTTCGACTTTACTCATTAATCATTGCAAGTTATCTATCTCTCTTCTCGAAATAGTTTTCCAATCACTGTCAAAAATTACAAGAGTCTTCCATAATTATATTTAGAGGTTTGCAAAGATTTTTAGTTATAAACTTCGGATATATGAATTTATTAAGTATGATTATTATTGACGTTAACATAATAGTAAACTGAAAAGAAAATACACATCAATTAAATAACAACAGTTTTAACGAAATGCCATAACCCAAGACAAGGCACACTGTATTTACAAAATCATTTACAATTGGTACTCACTTTGGAAAATTAGATTGGCCCATGAAAAACATATAACATTTATATTTCACAGACGAATCACAGTTTATATCTGCAACATCCAAATTTCTCAGACGGACACTGTACATGATCCCAAGATATTTATCCAAATAAATATTCGAGGATGACCTTGGGCCCATATATCAAAATGAAAAGAATAACTTTAAAAAAGTTACTGAAATCACTATACAAATTTTTTTTCAAAACCAAAATTGAAAATTATACAAAAATATAATACATAAACATACCTACTCAAACGCGTATGGACATACATCTCACATATTTTCGGTTAAGCAAAAAATACTCATTTACAAAAACTACAATCGTCCTAATCCAAAATTTTAACATGAGCTCTCTGGTACATACATAGCTGAAACTATACATAGCGAGTTACGACAATCAACTATCGACCAACACATAACAGCTGATTTCATATTAAACTACATGAAAACAACAATAGACAAAATAGACAATAGAGCTGGATGAGAGAGATATTTTCCACAACCGTTGCTAAATAATGTAGCTAATAACCATCGATCTAAGAAGGAGAAATCCTGGTCTACATTGAAAAATATTGAAAACACATCTGGTAACCGTTCCGACGGGCCAAAAGAATAGAGAAAAAAAATTATATAATTTATTTGTATTCATCCATTTTACCGTTCTTTTCTAAGGCTTTATTAATTCATGTATTTTGTAGGAACTTGCCCCGAAACAAATAATAATAATAATAACAATAAGGCTTAGCGAACCCGAAGGTTCGATGCCGACACCACCAATCGCTTGTTACACACCTCCCTCCACCGTTCGCCGTCCAAACCCAGTTCCTTCAGATCAGCTTTAATGCAATCTTCCCACCTTCGCTTCGGTCTACCCCTCGGACGCTTACCATTCGGCACAGCAAATATTAACCTTTTAGGAATTCTCTCGTTACTAAGCCCAACAACTTTACAAGTCCATTTGATTCGCCGCGATGAAATTACATCAATTATATTACCCGGATACAGCTCACGCAATTCGGCGTTGTGTAACCGTCTGAACTCTCCGGTTAACTCATCCTTCTTCGGTCCGAATATTCTACGCAATACTTTATTTTCAAAAACCTTAAGACGCTGCTCATCCCTTAATGTAAGCGGCCAAGTTTCGCATCCATAAAGAACTGTAGGCAAGATAATTGTTTTATAGATTGAAACAAATAAAGAATACATTATTATTATGTAGGGTGTAGCATAAAGAATGATTACATGTTTTAAATTAGAATATCTCTGTAACAAAAAAAAAAGCTGAAAACACTATACAAGAGAAAATCTAACATTATTAAAATCAACACATAATGTGTGAATGAATACTATAGCCCTAGTACCAATGCCCTTCGGTGTGGCAGACAGTATTAATACTCAATAAAAGTTTAAAAATTAAAATCAAGTTTTCAAAATTTCACTAATAGACAGTGATACAGGCCTCTATTTATCAAATTATAAACATCCGCATGAAATTTCGTAAATAGCTTCATTTCATCGTAACCTACAAATACTTTATTTACGAAAATTAATATAATTACAAAATCGAAAAAAAAAAGTTACCCATAAAAATATTTGGACGTTTGGCCTACATAACCTCGTTATTTTCACTTTTTCGGAGGCAGAGGTCACTCCAAACGGACCAATTTTTTGTAGGCCCCCTTTTTTTCTTTTTTCTATTTTGTTATCTTATTATGTTAGGATTCAAGTGGAAAACAATGGATATTCATAGGGTTTTAGTACCTAAGTAAATAAACAAAATCTCAACATTGAAAGCGCTTCCATTCCGAGAATTTTCGTAAATAAAATATTTGTAGGTTACGATGAGATGAAGATATTTACGAAGTTTTTTAGGCGGATGTTAATAATTTGATAAAAAGTGATCTGTACCACGGACTTGTATTGATTCAGTGTTCAATGACAGGATCATTTTAATTTTATTCTTAATTTTAGATCAAAATTAATACATAATATATTCTCTAAAATATGCGTGATGTATCCTAATCCTCATAAACTAAAATATATCATTTAATCTTTCCTTTTTTTTTTTTTATTATATATCAAAAAAGTATAGAATTAAAGCGAAAGAAATTAGTCTATTTAAAAAGTCACTTAATTAGATGAGTTTTTAGGCGGATATTAATAATTTGATGAAGAGGATCTGTACGACGGACTATATTTTTTTAATTTTTGCGCAATGAAATGACTAGAACTAAGAAATTACTTTTAAAAAAAATTTTTAAAAGGGAAATTATATAAGGAATTATGAAATAGTAGGAAATGTACAAATACAATAGAAAAATCAATTACTGAAACAAACAGCCGTATGATAATTAATACATTCAAGAATAATATAACTATGAGATGGATAAACATAAGTAATAATTTTAACAAAGCCACAGTATAATTAAAGGAATATTTTATAGTTTCATAACTGGTAAAATAAATCGTCTACGAACTGACTGATAAATACTTTAGACGAAAATATTAAAACGCTATAAACCTGAATCGATAAAATAACTTCAGATAAGAAAACAAATAGGAATAGAAAAGAGGATATAAAATAAAACAAAATGTGGTTTTTACATTGACTGACCCCTAGAGAGCTCCTCGGCTCTAGGAAAGGGGACTGCAATATAGCACTTCTGGGATCGACTGAATAGCAAAACAGGGAACTAGCAACGTATTTCAGGAGAAATGGCAAATAGTACTGACTTCTAGCATCCCTTTCGATCCTACTTTTGCCAATTTGTGCATTACTAGAATACGAGACTACCCCTTATCTCATGGAATAAAGGAAAAGAATAGAAAGGACACAAAATGGATATTCTCTTCCACCATTCGAATTCAAAGTTCTTCATCATAAAAAAGAAAATCTCCTCCAAAGTAGTATACATAATAAACAAAAACAAAAAAAAATAATAAAATAAGGTAAACAAGTCTAAAAAATATATTCGCTATATTAAATAAATTTACACCATATTATAAAAAAAATAGGTCACTCCAATTAGAATTCATCGTATATTTTTCTGATTTATTCAAATATAGTATGAAAAAATATATAATAATAATAATAATATTAAAATATAGAAAATAAATATTTATTTCGAGAAAATAGAAATAGAAAAATCTATTAGCTTAAACATAAACAAAAAATAAAAATTATGAAAATAAATAAATAATTATGAACCTATAAAAATATTAACATTTATTTATAAAAATACGTACTAATGAGAAATGGAATAAAATAAATTAAATTGCTCAAGATAAACTTTTTTAACACAAACGCACCCAATCCAAAGTCCTTCGAACAATATTCAATGGCACTTTCTATGTCTAACAAATATTTTCTTGACCTATTCCATTTCTCTAATTTTCACCCGTTTCTTGCAAATCATCCAGATGCTCTATCACAATCACTATTAAGCGGCACTGGACCCGCGATTTTTATTTTAATATAATTAATGGGCAATGCAACTATAACGCTCTTGTTCAATATCCACTAGCTTTTAGTACCAGTGGAGCAATTAAAGTATACCGGTGGGATTTCTTGTAGTCCTGCATTTCCCCGCACACTTTTTATTTATAAATAAGAAGTCTTTTTAGGAAATTATATTCCAGAAACATGGAAAAACAAGAAATAAAAGCTTTACAGAGAGTTAATTGTAGCCAATTTTGTTGAAAACACAGGTACCTTTAAGTGAAAAGATGAAAAATAACAAAATTTCTTTACATAACTTGAGATAAATCACAAGAATTTGCCAAATAAACCTAAATCTCATTAACATGAACTTGAAGCTTATTAAATGAAGAAGTTTTTCTAAAAGTGGGGTATATGTTGTATAATTTGATTATGATGAAAAAACTTTGCAAATTATTCCACAATAGTTTATAATTGTCAGATTTGTTTTTTTGATTTTTAAATTCCGTAAAATTTTGAATAACCATATACAATGTCTATATAAAAGCGTATACTTTTTGAGTTATTCGGAATCAAATTTTACCATCGCTCGTAACTTTTTTTTCAAGATTTTTTTCGTTGAAGTACGTTATATAGATAAATTTTGTGGACATCGATAAGAAGACTTTAGTTTCATTGAAATCGGTACATTCGTTTAGGCTCTACAATCTATAGCTACGCAGGTTTATCCGTCGCCATCTTGAAAGGAAAAGGCGGATAGAAATGTCGATGAAGGAGGATCATCCACGGATGACCTCTAATTTTAAATCCAAATTTGAAAAGAAATCGGTCCAATAATTTCGGAGAAAATGATGTGGACGACGGACAGCGGACGGACAAAAAAAAATTGTATTCGTTTTTCGAATTTTACGTATCCTGAAACGTAAAACCTCAAATTTTAAGAAGGTTTTTGATTTTTTTTTGTTCGATCACAATAGTTCATTATTGAAAATAATAGAATACATGTGGTATGAATATATTCCTTATTATTGTAACTATTTACTGTAATAGAATGATACGCTATTAAAAAATAAAATAATATAAAAAATTACACAATTTTAATATTGTACTCAATAGGAAATAAGGACGATGCCAGAAGCAGAACTTATAACGGACTATCCAAAGGACAAGATGAAATGCAAGCTGGGGACAAGATGACATCCCGAAAGACAAGACGATCTGACCGTGACTCCAGGCAGGATGACAGCTCCTTACCTCTGGCAAGGACAATCTTCCTGGAGCCGGACTGAGACCGATCGATTTCGCCGTTCGTCATTGGGCGGATAGACCGGCTTAGTGCCGGTGTATAGAGCAGTGCTACGATCGAGTAGCGAAGGAAGTAATAGCCGGCAGGATCTTCTGCTCTTACCCACCTCACTGGTACTGGTGCAAGTACACTCGAGCATTTACGGACCATTTGCTCTAAATGCTGCTGGCATATCAAAAGATTTTTTTTTTTTTTACTGAATTACTTGTTTATTGATAAATATTACAATCTGTCTCAATAAAGGAGATTAATAATAGAGTTCAGAGAGACCATATTTACAAAATCATAAAATAAATAAGGCAATATCATAATAATATACAGCGAATAAGTACAAAATAAAATATCATAATGAAGGAAGAAAATATAAATAATAGTAATAATAAAATTAAATTAAATGAATAAAACAGAATTAAAATGTTCCAAGAACTTACTTCACGATATAGCCAACTTTCACATCTTCTAGACTACAGATCTTCGCTTAACTTACGAAACAAGCTGCTGATCTACAACACCATACTGAGACCAATATGGACATATGGAGCAGAACTTTGTGGTTACACACATATACAAATACAAACGGCACAATAAAAAATTTTACGAAAAATTGTTAACGCACCTTGGTACATTTCAAACTGTACTATACATAACGACTTAAACATCCCAACAGTAAAATCCTACATCCACGACAAATACACTACATTTCATTCTTCAACCCAAAATCACTCCAATCTTCTGGTTCTTTCTATCTCCTGTTCCCTGTTACCTGAACAACTCAGATTAAGAAGAAAATGGCCAAGAGACCTACTATACCAATAAAATCCATATCAAGCAAATACACCAAGACAATACAAACACAACAAATTTGCTAGATGCGCAGCCGCGCAGATACAAATTGCATAAAATATAAATAAATAAATAAATAATGAAAAAATGTTCTTTAAAAAAAAGGTAATAAAAATAAACATCTTAGACGCAGGCATACCTAAATACTATTAAATAAATAATAAAATACAGATATCATAACAATCTAAAAAATGTTCGTATAATTTTGATGATTATTAATTTATTTTTCAAACGGTTGTAAAATTTAATAAGAAGAAAATGCTAAGGATTTACGGATAATATAGGAAGCGGATTTTTTGTTACTCGTAATAATGAGAGATGGTTAATTATTTAAAATAAACCAAATTAAAGGTACTTTAGAGGAAGGCATGTTCAACATTTAAGTCCTGTAAAGTGACATCGATAGTGTTAAGACCTAAATGATATTAAATACCACTTAATTATATAATGATACACCGAGTTTAATCAAAATCGTTGAAGCCTTTTTTGAGAAAATTGTAAAAATGAGTATAACCGTTGATATAAAGTGACACTTCCAATTAGCCGATTTTAAGGAAAAAGTTGCCGTCACATCTAAGGCATATACCTATCTTAAATACGTATTATCAGTTTCGTACGACTTTTCGTTTTTGAGCTAGACTGCGGTGTCTATGTATGTTAGACACAAACACACACAGATCATTTTGCGACAATTGGTTATTTACACTCAGTGGACCTCAAAATGTGTATTTCCGTTGAAAACTCAAATTCGAAAATTTTCACTATCACAATACTTTCCCTTACTATATATTACATATATATTTAAGTGAAAGTAATAAAAAAATATTTTAAAGAAAAAAACAAAACAAATATTCTTGTTCCCTCTCCCAAATACTTGTTTTAGAAGATTAAGAGACGTGGATTACTCTACGAGAACAGTTTTAGTACGTGATCTTGACACTTCCTATCGAATTATTAACATCCTATTAACATCCGTCTAAAACTTCGTCGATAGCTTCTTCATATTTTAACCCACAACTTTTTTATTTACAAATGTTCTGGAATTGGGACATGGAACAATTTGGAGATCGGTAAACTTTGTCTATTTATTGAGAAACTAAAAACTTATCGAAAGATAACTTTTTTGTTTTTAAATATTCGTAGTTATTTAATGAATTATCGAAGGAAATCGAGTACTTGAATACCTTCAGTGTTCGAAACACGCCGTGATAATGACCCACATGTTTGGGTTGAAACGTCGGCACCAATAAATACTTTATAATGACTACGTCCTAAATATTTATTGAAAATATTCACTATCGCAATACTTTCTTACTATACATTACATATATATGTAAGTGAAAGTAAAAATAAAACATGCTATATTAACAGTGTTGTCTTAACTTAACACCAATTGTGAAAGAAGTGAATGAGAATACGTCAATGTAACACCGCCAACCTAATTATGCCACTGATTATTGGCAGCAGAAAGTAGAAACCAGAATAAAGATATGATAAAAAGAATTAACCGAGTGGAATGTACGTGTGCTCATTCGAGCAGGCGCGATAAACTTAAAACGGAAACGGATCCTTGCAATATAGCATGTGGTTGTGACAAGGGAAGTGAAGGAAGAAATTAACATGAATTAAAGTTTAATATTTCCGTCGAGAATGAAAGTGAAAGGAATTATATTTTTCTAGATCATATTAAAGTATTTCTGTCCTCACCTAATATGCTTGTGTTGATCAATGGCTCAACTTATGCATCCCACACTTCAATCAAACATCACAAGGCTTAAAGAAAAGTGTCAAAATCAGTGGCGTAACTTGAGTGTAGGAGTTGAAGCAATTTTCTCTAAACACCGGCTCAGAAAGAGTATAGCGAGAGTGGAGCGAGTAGTGGAAAATTCGAGATATCGATTAAATCAATTTTTTTTTTTAATTTGGACTATTACATATAAACAGTGGGAAATGTATATTGTGCCAACTGAAAATATTCTCGGAAACTCCGCAAACACAAGGTATGAATAAAACAGTTTTTGGAGTCCTAAAAAAAAATAATATACTGATTCAAATAGATGTCGCGAGTTTTCACTTACTGGTTCCACTATACGCGAGAGGTAAAAAAATCTGTACCTAAAAAATTAACACAACTAATATTTGAAAAACAAAATAAAATGTGTTTTTCAGACTCAGAGAGCTCTGAAACGTAAACATTTATATTTCCTTCTACTGTATCATATAAATGTAATAAAATGTCTAGAAAATAGAATATGCTATTTTATTCTGCACTAATACTGGTTCGATTTCGATGATTTTATTTTTTGTTTTTGAAGGGAGTTTAATGACCTTTCAAAAGATTAAATATAAAATTTACTTTACTTTTTAAATTAACCAAAAAAAAAAAAATTTCTTTTTTCAAGATTTCATTTAGCAAATTATCAATTAAAGCGTAGTAATCTAGACCAAATTTGCTCAACATACAAATAGAATTTATCGTTATTAATTTTCTTATTATAGCAATTAAACTACTACAAAGACAACTTAAAATGGCTTTTAAAAGTTAAATTCTACTTGTGTTAATAAAAGTTAATTTACGATTCTGCAATCATTAATTATTTTAATTAATTATTTTATAATTATCACTTCCTATTTAATAAAAACTCTGGCCTACTTGAAAAAAAAAAATAAAAAAACTAAGGGGTGTGCTTTAGATAGTGTTGACCAAAATTCTTCTTGGGCTTGCACTTTGCAAGACCAAGTACAGGACTGGTAAAAAAAAAATCGTTTTTTTTAAATAACAATTAAGACAAAATAGTTAGTAATAACCGAGAATCTTAGTTACTACATGTTAATAATTGGTATAACCAATGTACTTTACTTTTTCATTTAACTTCTCTAGTTTTTCATTTGGGCTTAGTTAGGTTTCTTCTATCTAAAAAATTACAGTAATAACTCTATAGTAATAAGCTAATAAGTAACTGCAAGACTGTTGCGAGACTCTTGTGCAAGACCAAGACCGAGTTTGCAAGACCAAGACTCATCTCGGTCTCGCATTTAGACCACCCGAAAGAATTGAAAACATCAAGGAGAGATTATTAATATGAAATATATATTATAAATAATAGCTCATTATAAAAAGGATGAAATGCTGGACAATTCCCTCGCTTACAGTATGCAGTTCTGATTTTTAGTTTCTAAGGTATTTTTATCCATATCTTCAATAAAACTCGTTATTATTTGATTTTCGGCTCTATTTTTTTCTTGTCGGCTCTCAAATACTGTTTTGTGTTAAGATACATTTTTGAATAATATCTCATTATAAAGAGGCTGTAATAACATTTCCCTCACTTATGGTACGCAGGTAAGTCGATTTTAAGTTTTTGAGATATTTTAATCCATATTAAATGCAATCCAATTAGTCTACTTCAGCCGACCTTACCCAAGCGTTACACATCAGAAATCTGACCACTAAATCTAATTCAATCTCTACAAAAGTGCAAAACGCGCCTACAGACGTTTTTACTTAAATGAACTAGCCTACAAGAAGAAAAAAATAAATGAAGTGAACTTTAATTTTGTCTAAACCATTTTTGGTAGTTTTAAAAATATTTCTAATTATTAACAGAACATCCTATATATTTGTTTCCTTCTACTCCGTTCTTGATACCCAGCCGTTAATATATAAAATCAGTAATTATTCTATCAACTTACCAGCCCCCCCCCTTCCTCATTATGCAGTTAATAATTAAGGCAGCACTGGTATATTAGGTCACATCCTCTAGACTATGCACACAGCTGTCAACCCAACTCACACCAACATTGACCGACCGCCCGGCCTAAGCTTAAGCAACTTCTCTGCCCCGAATCAAGGATGACCCATTCAACAGAACCTAAATTCTCAAGTAAAATAAATAGAAATTTAATCACAGAAAATAACTTTGAAGTAAAAAAAATCAAATTCCAGCTAGAATCAATCAGCCCTGGAGCCAGGGACCAAACATCGACCTGATCGCAGGCGAAGATTAGTTGTAAATTAGAAAATAGTATGCTATTCTGAGTAAAAAGAACCTTGTCTGCCGTTTCAGAGCCGCTGCTTTAAAAAATGGCGGCTGATTTAAAGAATATTAGGCCAGTAATTTGAGGATCGAAACGTGTCCATTGAGAAAAATGTGAGAAAAGTTTTTATTTTTTTAACTCCTATATATGGGTTTAGGCATGTAAAAAACAAAATTGCTAACACGGGCCACCAAGGGAAAACTTTTTACAGCCAAAAAAAGTCAGATTTTTTGTTTTTTCACGTATAACTTCGGCATAATCGACACATCGTTTACCAAAATCCTTAGCTGTTGAAAGATTGGAAAGAGGCTTATGCCGCATTTAATAGACTCTAAACAAAAATAACTCAGTAGAATAGACACCCATACTGTTAAAATATTGAAAATCATGTTTACCTTCATTACCAATTTCTAACTATCGGGAGATAACCGATTTTGTTCGCAGTAAGTGACTAACATCAAATTAGTTAGTACAAAGTTGACGCAAAATTTGATGCTCTACAACTTTGATTCTATTGGTTTTTCCACTTCAGAAACTCATTTCCAAGTTACAGGGCCATTTATAGTAAATTGTCTCAGTTTTTGACAAATTTGGTTAAATTTCAGCGTTGGTTGACCGTAGTTTTATAAAGTACGTATAAACCACGTAACCAAATTATAAAGTGTGTGTACTCGTTTGAAGCAAAATTTAACGTTCTTTTAATTTATTAAAGAATACATTTTTCGCTTTGATGCATCGTATAGGAGTTCTTAATCCCTCTTTTCCTCTTAATTATAATTGATAATCTGAAGAAAGAGAATTTAAATGGGGCATTAATGCTATACTGAGAAAATAGATTAGAACTTTAAAGCGTTGAAAATTATTATACAATAGTTTATTGTTTTAAAATAGTCGAATTTAAAATAAGAATCGACGATTTTGAGAGCACACGATATTCCTAACAACGTAAAAGGAACTGAAATTGAGTGGAGTTTTAAAATATTTTTTTATACATTTTCTATCAATAAACTATGTTGACAAGGAGAATTGGTGGATATAAAAATAAAAATAGATAAATAAAAAAATGCTAAAAAAGGGTTCGTTAAAATAAAATTAATAAATACACTTAAAGATAATAATAATAATAAGATAACAAAGATAAATAAATAAACTTAAAGAAATAAAAAATAATACGAGTTTGTTAAGGGTGCGGTCAAATAAATATTAAATATTAAAATAGTATTATATTGTTTTGACCCACTTTGTAGGTCTTCAACAGGGCGTGGTATCAGGAAACAGGAAACAGTTGGTAGAGTTACATAAAAATAAATAATAATAAAATAAATAAATGAACTTTAAAAATAAATAAAATAAAAATCTGCAAATGGTCATCAGTTACAAACTTGAGATATATGTTTTACAAGATTGTGTAGGAACTTCATAACTTTAGTAATGATTATTTCCTGGTTTCTCAGGGATGCTGATATATTCTGGGGTATTTCAAGATCGAGCGTTGGAGATCAAAAGGTAGGTTAACAATTTCGTGTTATCCATAAAAAAAAAAAAAAGTTGCTGTCACAACTAAGCCATATACCTATCTTAAATACGTGATATCAGTTTCATAGGACTTTTCGTTTTTGAGCTAGACATACAAACACACAGACCATTTTTCGGAACTTGGTCATTTCGACTCGTACCTCAAAACGTATAAATCCGTCGAATACTCAGATTCAAAAATTTTCTCAATCGCAATACTTACACTTACTATATATTACATATATACGTGAGTGAAAGTAAACAAATAATGGATGTTAAATTTCCAAGATAATATCTGACCAATATGCCTTAATTTGGCAATATACGTTTTTTTACGTGTCACATTTTTTGTTGACTAAATCAAAAAATCTTTACATATCTTTTACCGGATTGATTAAAACACATTCCGTACAACAATTTGTTCGTGTTTTGAACTCTAATTGTTTCAATAAACCCATGTGATCTCACAGAATATTTTGAGTCATCGAATTTAAAAATCGGTCTATCCGTTTTCTTAACAAAAATACCATTAAGTAGACAACCTAAACAGATAACCCTATGCATTTGGCTTCGCCATAATCGAATAAAAATTTCATGATCGAATTCTTGCGGTTCTGGAGAATCCCTGCGCCCTACTGACCACCATCGATACGGTGCAAATATCGATCATTTCCAAGGAAAATACATTGAAATATTCCTAGATCAGGAAAGAAGATACTCCCGGGACAGAAGAAATCGGCACATGCTTCTGCAGTAAATGTAACCGGAGGTGATACTAGGGGACCGGACACACCAGTCCTCGCAGAAACCTGTTCTCGGCGACCGTTGGTCGAGACTGGATATAACACTAACCTCGAGAACATAGCTACCATCTGAGAAATGGTACACGAGTCGGGATGGAACAGTTATCAAGTAACGGTTACACAGTAACTGTATCTACAATAGCTGAGTAGGGAAAAAATTAAAACATAATGGAGTTATGTAAGAAAAAATAAAGTTTAGAAATTGACCTTATGGTCGATCCTCAGCTTATTTAATAGTACATACAAATAAATAAATAATTATCTGACACAGCTGGTCTCGAACCCAGTACTTGCAACACTGGAGTATCTGTTGTTTATAATTAATTTTCAATAAAATATTTATTCTGTTATGATGCATATAAGGTTAACTTTGAAAATAACACATATTCTAAATATTTAACATTTCTCATATAGTGCTTCAATCACTGTATGTTGGAATTTGGAAATAATGGACGGAAACATTCTGGTATCAATTTTATTTTCATACAACAATTAAAATTAATGTAACCTTTAATAATGCAATTGTCTTCAAATGTATTATATAATGATATGTTATAATAGTTTTTAAATTTAAACTTAGTGAGGTTGATTAAATGTGTTGGGTCCTTTTTAATTAAGTATTGCCAATCACTTTTAGTTACAGTTACTTTTAGTAAAATAACAGTTATTATTTAGAAACCGATTAATATTGTTAAATATTTAGAATATTTGTTATTCTCAAATTTAAATGATTTTGTGTTTATCTGTTGTTCAATATTAATTTTCAATAAAATATTTATTCTTTTATAATACAAATGAGACACATATAATGTAAACTTTCATAACAACAAATATTCTAAATATTTAACCAAATTTCTCATTATCTGTAATATTTCATGTAATATCCTTGATATGATGTGTAATATTGCTTTCATCATCATTTTAATGCCTTTTATTTGTGAGAAAAGGATGTCATTTAATTTTAAGTTTTTTTTTTTTTTTAAGTTTACACACTCAATAATACAATACGTTTATTATTCAGCTTATTACCTCATTAGGACAACCGTAATAATTTATTTAATCGTGTGTATTTGACATATCTAGAAGAAAAACCATTTAGATATTTATTTTTCTCATAGTTAGTGAAATGTCTAAACGCACCTTTGAGAATGGCTGTGAAATGAGAGAAGTAGTAAAGATATCACAAAAGAAGGAAAGGAATTTTATAAAAGTTCTAAAAACCATGAGGTTTATCAGATGTATTTTAATTGGATTATTCTATTTTGGTTTATTATTTTGAATAATGAACCACTGTGATCGAAAAAAAAAATCCAAAACTTAACCCCCTCTCAAAATATGAGATTTCACGTTTCAGGATACGTAGAATTCGTTTTTTTTTTTAGCATATTACTAATAATTAAAAAAAAAAATGTTTAGTCCAATAATTGGAATCACCTTTTATTTCTTTTCCTTTGTAACTAGGAAGGTAATGTTACTCTAGATGTATAACTGTTTGGAAATAATAAACTATTGTGAAATAAATTGAAGCGTTTTCTTTTTTTCCTGTTCACATCTATCACTAACGAAAGTAATAATAAACACATATTTAAAAAAATAAGAATAACTAGATTCCCGAATGGTCTATCGTCCAGTTCCGTTTTACTCGAATTATAATGGACAGGAACTATGATTCTCTCAGATGTATGTCCATATCGATTAAATTAGGTATATGGATTACATTTTAAATAAAATAATAACCTTAGCTACACTACAGTCATTTACATATGGCACAGGAAACTCCATATAAGTCTTGACACTTAATATATTTTATAAGACGTGTTTTTCTTGGATTGTTCTATTAAATTTTAAATAAAATAAAGATATGGAGGAAGTTGATTTAGTAAATTAGTTGGCAGATGTTTTTTATTTTGTTTTTATACTTTTAAAACTAAATTTACAACAAGATAGAAATTATAAACAGTATAGTTATATAACTGCAGTGATGAGAACTTTATTATAACAAACTCATAAGAAACACTCGCGTGCTCAGTTGAAACCACAACTCAAAATTTGATCGGAAGATAACAAGAAAAGTTTCCCTCCATGAGAAAAACTATCTTAAGCGAAAATCAATGATAGGAACCCCGAGGTAATAAACTGAAAGGGAGTGAAGGGGGAAGAGGGGAGGTGGTTTTTCAGCGTTTCCAATCACAGGCAAACACGAGCGATAATCTTTTCTTCTACCGCCCTCTACACTCAACACCCAACAACAACATCAAAGGACTACAAAAAAGAAACTCCCAAAATGAAACTGCTCCGTAATCGGAAAGCAGTTACCAGGCTCTAATCACCGGAACAGTTCCAATCAATAAGAGGTAAGTTCCGAACGCAATCCCACTAGAATATTGATAGTAGCCATCGAAAAACAGCTTAGTAAAACCGAGGTATTCCGGTTGCGGAACCCTACATAAACAGAGCTTTGAACATATGAAGATATCTTTAATTTATAAATAAGTAATATTTGTATAATAATACATGTATAATTACTACATTAATCAAATACAAGTTTTACTGTGTGTTGTAATAGTCTAATAATTAATTCAATACTAAACTTACATGCTGGAAATAGGTAACATTGATGACTAACCTAGAAAAAGAAACAAAAAGTCAGGATTAGTTGAATTATGCTTAAAAATTATTTTCAGTTTTATGTAAAAATCATAATAAATAAAAAAAAAAAATATATATATATATATATATATATATATATATATATATATATATATATATATATATATATATATATATATATAGCCGAAAAGAAAAGTTATGCTGTACAGTTTACACATTTTTTTTTTTTTTTTTTTTGTATTCCGTTTACAACCTACTAGTGTTGCCCAAATGTGAGACCAAGATTTTTCACAAAGTCTTGGTCTTGGTCTTGCAGTTACCTATTAGCTCATTAATATAAAGATATTATTTTAATTTTTCAGGTTGAGAGAGTAGCGTATAGGGTTCTCCTGGAGTCCGGCTTTTCCCTCCATAGTTGGAAGGGCAAGCCCACCTCGTGTATATAGATATTCATATATATATATATATATATATATATATATATATTTTTTTTTTTTTTTCTTTGTTTCAATTTTCTTACTGTTAAGTTATTTTATTTTATTTATTGTTATTTACATATAGTGTGAATGTAATCCTACCTCATTACAACTAATGTCCAAGTAACAGATTGTTGTAATACTCAATAAATAAATAAAATTAAAAAAAAAAAACGAATTTCAGGTACAGGAAATCTAACTAAGCCTCAATGAAAAATTGGAAGAGTTAAATGCAAAAGTATTTTGTATATACTATTTTTTTTTTATAAATATTAACTAAAATTGTCAAATATCAATAACTAATTTGCCTAAATTTAAAATTTCAGTATTTCTATAATTTGTTCGCCCATAGTTCAGGAATTATAGAGTTAAAGAATTTAAATTTTATTTCGAATTTTGTTTAAACAACTTAATCATTTTGTAACGCGGTCTGTTCTAATAGACTTTATATTTTATATTGATAGAGCTCTAAATTTAATTATTGAAATAAGTTTATTATTCTAAACATTTCATCTATAAGTAACTCATATCACATAATAAAATTTCAGCAATACATAAATATATAGTTTTATTATGTGATATGATACTTATAGATCAAATGTTTAGAATAATAAACTTATTTCATTAATTATATTTAGGGTCCTATCAATATAAAAACAAAGTTACTATTAGAACATATAAAATAATATGTTATATAACATTATAAAAATATTGTTGGAGAGAAGGCGGTTGGAAATTGCAATCATTTGAAGTATAAAGTAAAAATAAATTATATTAATATACTAATAAATTAAGTTATAAATTATATTTATTTATTCTTTGAACTTCCACTGACTACAATCCCCAACCCACTTCTCTTCAACAATGCCTTTCAACAGTCGACAATTGCCAATCATTATAAAATAAAACTGATATTTATATATTTTTTTAATAAAGTTTATACCTTCTGCTACGGAAACTTAAAATATCTGAACTAATACATAACACACATGAGTGTTTGTTTGAATGCGATGATAATAATAAGAAATGTGAGCTCATTAAGAAATATTCTTTTTCCGTCTATGGACAAGGAAAATACCTTAGTGCATACGTAAGTGGAAGTAATGGATGGAATTCGAACTAAGACAGTATAATTTATTTTTCACTTGAGTCTCTAACTTTGAGTCAAAGTAAAATAGCCATTTCTGAAATACAGATCTGTCTGAGTCAATATATTTACGCCTGCGAAAGAGGAAGCATTGAATAGAAATTGTTTAATTCAAAATATGGGCCATTTATGCGCCAACTCTATAAGGAACTCTGACATTGTTTTCAGCTTATTTTTTTCAAATTTTCCTTTTGTTCATTCAGATTTTCCCTTCCCCCCTCCCCCTCAGAACGAACTTAAAAATCCTTTCCACACAAATATATACAAAATAATACACTATATTACATCTAACAACTCTAACTTTAATACACTATATTACATCTAACTACTCTAACTTTAATACTGTTTAATCTAACAGATTAAACTGTACTCGCAATTGCGTTTTAATTGATAAAAATCGTTTTTATCTCCTTACCTTGGAATTTCTCTAAAAAAGAAACTTCATTATCAAAGTGTAAACCCTAGTATTAGATGATATTTCTGAAAAGAGAATTTGACTCACGACAGACTCGGGACCATGATATCAAAACTGTAAAACGTGAGTGAAAATTCACGGTTCCGAACATTCATTTTTTTAATGAATAAATTTTATAAATAAACGGATATAAAGTTTCCCTACATAAATAAATATAGTCCGTGGTACAGACTCATTTTTATCAAACTATTAACAACTTCCTAATACTTCGTGAATATATTTCATCACATCATAACCTTTATATTTTTTACTTTCACTTACCTATATATGAAACATATAGCAAGTGGCAGTATTGCGATCGTGAAAATTTTCGAATCTGAGTTTTTAATAGAAATACATGTTTTAAGGTCCCATGAGTCTA